GTCCACGCCGAGCCGTAAATACTGGTTTGGACGGGGGCAAAGCTCAGCGAATAGTAACTAGGCCGATGTCTTCTCACAGCTCACCGCGGCCCCGTGGTTCCGGTGACACGGTTTATGTGCCTGGTGCGTTCCCAGGGCTTAGAGCCGCCTCCCCGTGGGGCGCGAGCCCTTGTCGTTCCTCTGTGTTTCACACACGGCGACTGCACAGCGCCCCGAGTTTCCTCCTGCTAAGTTTTATTTTATCAGAGTAACACTTGATGCAACTGTTGAGGCCAGGTAGCCTCACGGGCCGATTATGACGTGGGACGCGGGTCCCTGTGCCCCCGCCAGCTCCCTCCTCGTAGATGCAGCCTCGTCGGCTCTTCCCTGTGGTCTGAGCTGCATACGAGCCTACACGCTTCTCCGTCCCTCGGCCCGACACTGCTGTCCTCCTGCGAAGAAGGCCGGGGCTCGGCTCTCACCCCCTCCCCAGCCCCCTCAGTCGACACCGCTCCTCGGGTCGCAGCACTCGCTCTAGGCCAAGAAGTGAGCTTTTTGTGGTTATGCGTGCGCCCTGGCTTCCCCCCGTCAGCCGAGAGGGGCCACCGGCCACAGCGCTCCCACGCCTTGTCCTGCAGCCGCTTCCGCCACGTTCCCGCGTTGGACCCGTCTTCCAGCTTCCGTGTCTGCTCCTCTTTAGTGGAGACCTCCAGTGGCTTCCTGAGCAGTAGCCCACGGGAAGCGGAGCCTGAGGGCTGGGAGTCCGTGCGGTCTGGATTCTGCTGCAGCCTGTGGATACGAATCCCAGGCTAAAACTGCTTCTTCAGGATTCCAGTGTCTTGTAGCTTCCATGGTCTCTGTTGAGAAGTCTGTTCCAGACTTCTGTTCCAGGCCCAGCCTGCTTCCCCCCAAAACCTCTGGGCACGCTTCTTTATCTCTGGTGCCTTTCTTTGTCCCCTGTGCCCCGGGTACCCGGGGACTCACCTGCCTGGAGACACGTGCCCTTCCTCACGCATTTCCCTTACCGCTGTCTGTCTTTAAGTCCTGGAAAACTGATGCGTCAGGTATTAACACTTGTGGGCTGATCCTCGCATTTTTTCTTTTTTTCCTTTCTTCCTGTCGTTTTCTCTTTTCTCTGCTTTCTCAGAGATGTTCTTGACTTTCCAGTCTTCGTTTTGGTTGTCATCATGTTAACATTCATTAGTTCTCACTTCTTGGATGCAGCATTTATTAGACTGAATCGTGAAGTGTTGCTGCTGGTTTTGTGAGAATGTCATGTGGCTCAACTCGATTTTCTGTCACTTATCTGAAGGTATTAAAATTTCCTGGGAATTTTCTCCTCCCCAGTTTGTTTCTTTCCTCCCGGTTCCCCTCCTTCCGACTTGTTTGCTCTCACCTTGGAGCTGTCCTCGGACACAGGTGAGCTGGGCTGGCCCATCGTATATTTGTATTTAAGGATGAGCCACCGAGCACTTGCTAGAAGCCCTTTCCACACGGAATGATGCATCAACCACTGGTCTTCGTGGTCATGGGATCCAACTAGAATCTGGAGGCAGAGACTCCCCAGTGCCCGCCGGGGTGTGGGCCTGCGGCCAGCACTCCCATCATTGTCGGGGAGGGTGGGCACCTGCTCAGTGGAAGTGAAATATACATATACGTCCATACTTTATATATATGCATACTTTTCCCCAAACCACTTAGGGAGCAAATTGCGGAAGGCTGCCCCTTTCCCAGTAACTGTGTATTCAGTGTGCATTCCCTGAAGGCAAAGGATCCCCTGATGTAACCACAGTGCCCCATCATCAACTGAGGAAGTTAACACTGACACGGTCTTAGCATCTACAAACCTTACTCATATTTCCCCAATGACACATCTCCTAACCAAAGCGTATCTGAGATCGTGCATTTGATTCAGATTTCATTAATAAGGTTTTCAATTGGGATTGTTGGATCCAAAGAATGAGCGTGTTAAGGTCAATACATATTTTTAGATTTGCTTCCAGAAACAGGCCATGCCCGTCGCGTCCTCACCAGGACTGAGCATGAGCGAGCCTTTTCCCCCCACAAGTCTGGGAGGTGGGGATGAGATTGTGCTGTTCAGCGTGTTTTTCTTTAACTGTGAGGGAGGCGTCGAGCACCCTGCTGTGTGCTCGCTGGGCCTGGGTGTGTCGGATAGTCGCCTTCCAGCGTTTTCCTCACCCGGCTCCTGTGTGCCCTTGCCCCCCTCCAGGAGCCGCGCTGGGCCCCCTGCTGGCTGGGCTCCTCTCCCCGTCTGGATGGAACAACGTGTTCTACATGTTGATGGTTGCAGACGCCTGTGCCTTACTGGTAAGTCTCTGTGGCTGTCGTCCCAACACGGTGACGCTCTTTCCGACGGAAGTGCGGTCCTCAGGAAGGCCTGGCCCGTGACAGACCCTAGCTTTCCCGAGTGCTCGCGATCCGAGGCCTTCCTCTTTCTGGTCTGAACAAATGTCAGAGCAGAAGCCGGCCTGCCACTCTGCAGCTTTAGGCAGGATGGTGGGGAGGCAGAGAGCAGGGGCTCCCTGCGTGGGATCCCAGCCCCGTCCTCTGCCGAGTGTGTGTGCACCTGGGGCAGGTGACTTGGCCTCTCTGTTCTGCAGCTCCCGCGTTGGTTAAACAGGCATAATAATGGCACCCCAAGGCAGGATCGTCGAGGGGACTTGGAGGAGACGGCAGGCCGAAACCCACGTCCTACGTGGTGACCTCCGTTGCCCCACTGCTCCTCCTGTGCCCTGCAGCCCCGGGGAAAGCGGCCTGACTCTCGGAGCCCAAAGGGGTGGGAAAGAAGGAGCAGAGGCTGTGGGTGCCGGCCCCCAGCTTCCGTCTGCGGCCCCTGCAGGACAGAGAGGCCCGGGCACCGGTCAGAAGCGGGCCGTGCTCACCCGAGTGGCTAGCGTGCGCTCAACCTGCAGCCGCCCTGCGCACGGGGTCCCCGACCTGAAGCCACGTGCCTCCTCTCGCTTCCCCAGAAAAACGCCCGAGGTTGATCCCTGTAAGGGTGAGTCGAGGATTTGGAAATATCAGCTCTGAGAGTTCTGTATTTTCATTCCAGGGCTGTTCCACAGCCCCCCATGTCGTAGAGGATCCAGGGCCAGCTTTCAACTCGGGAGCCTGTTAGGTTTTTAAGAGGCTCTTCCTCAAAGCATTTGTTTTTATAAATGCCTGAGGGCTTTAGTTAAGTCCCAGATCATTTCAACTAAGTGGCCCCGAGACTTCCATCATCATGGCTGGTTAGAGACTGAAGACTGTCCCTCAGCAATGCGGGGGAACACACATTATGCGTCCTTTTAAATGCACAGCCAACCCCGTGGAAAGGAAGGGTATCCTCGGGACGGGACCCAGAATGTCGAAGCGGCATAGACAAGTACCCGGGCTAGAGCAGTGGGAATCGGGGAGTGGCTGGTTCTGCCCCCCTGGGGAGCAGAGGTGGGGCTTCAGGCCCGCACGAGTGGGGCAGGAGGCCAGGACCCTCAGTGGGCTGGGCTCCAGCGAGCACGTGGGTCCGAGAGACAAGGATCTGTGTCCACCTCAGCCTGTTCACCAGGTTGGAGGGGGCTAGTCGTCCCTGAGGATTTTTAGCCACGGACCTGCCTATGGTAAGCTTAGATTTTTGAACTTAGGTAAATACACATAATGTGTACCCAAAAATTGAGTAAAATTGGTCTGGAACCGTGATACGCCTGGTTCTTGGGCAGAAGCAACCCTAAAACCATTTGCAAGGGGCAAACCTCAACCCGCTGCCCGGATCCCCACTGCTAACGCCCGGCAGAGAGGAGCCTGAAATTGGGAAACGGTCCACCGTGACTGAGGTGACAGACACGACAAACGGCAGAGTCAGACCCCCCAAAATTGCAGATAACATGGTTATCAGGTAGACGTAGCAGTACTGAAGACGTCTGAGAAGGATGTGGGTTCACGAGCAAAGAAGGGGAGCCCGTGGAGCACAGAGACAAGGACGTCCCCGGGTACAGCCCAGCACGCGGAAGCCGTGGCCGCCGCCAGGGATGAAGCACAGACCGGAGCCCCGGGGAGGAATGTAGAGACGGGGCCGAGCACAGTCGAAGACGGAATAGCCGACAGCTTCAGGGCACAGAAGGCGGGGCTGCGCGGCCGACAAGAAGGGCGAGCGCACGCGTGCAAACGTGACCGTGAGCGGCCCGCCGTCACCGGGCAGCGCTGGGGTTGCGGGCCAGACGGCACGTGTGGCGCGTCGGAATTCAGAAAGGACAGAGAACAGGATGTGAGAGTGGTAGGCAAGTGGTGACCGGAAGCAAGCTGGACCGGCCAGGCCAGGT